TGATGCCATGTCAAACAAAGTGGGTAGAATATTTTCAGGTATTATTTCATTATCTGAATGGAGGTATTTATAATACAAGGTTACAAACCCTAGCAGGGTTATACTAGAAAATAAGATAAAGTCCTAATTACATAATATCTATACAAAAAAAGAAAATAAATAAAATTCTAATATACTAAGAAGTAAATCTCCTAATTACACTAGGATCTCGCTAACATAATAACATACAGGCAACCAAAGAATTAGGGAGCTCTAGCAATCTCCATCCTTGTTTACCCAACAAAGCTTGATTAAAACTCACCAAATCACGAAAGCCCATCCCTCCATCAAATTTATGTTGGCACATAGTTTTCTAGTTCTTCCTATGAATGCCTCTACTCATTACTTTCAACCACCAGTACCTTGAAATAATACTTTTAATTTCATTACAGAATCGAACAGGCAAGCGGAAGACACTCATTGAATACGGAGGCATGGCTTGGCATACAACTTTTATTAAAACCTTCTTCCCAGCTTTCAATATTAACTTACCTTCCCATCCAGTTACGTTCTTCCATATTCAAATTTTAATTACAAAACATTTGCCTCTTTTTATTCCCAACCATTGTAGAGAGTCATATTATATTTTAATATAAATTTTTAATTACCGTATCCATGACGTATCGTATCCTAGTTTTCGAAGATTTGCCGTATCCCTGTGTCATATCGTATCGTATCGCCGTATTTGTATTCGTGTTCGTGCTTCTTAGGTCCCAGGTATCGCTCATAGCATATGACAATTGGAAAGCCCAACATAGCTTGGGTTTGGGCTTGGAGTACTGCTGGAGTAGACGGATTGAAATATTCTAAACGGGCGGGTTCAGGTTTGGGATTAGAATACCATCCATGCCCCGCCCTGAACACTATACTCGAAAAAATACCCAAAAAATTCCCCAAATCCGTCCCTATGTCTAATTTATATACTTCAAATATGACCCAATAGGGTCAAAGTCCCGCGAAGACCTTACCACGTGTAGGGAAAATTGTCATTCCTAGCTATATTTGTAGCTCTTTATTTATTTGTTTGGGTTATTTACTCAAATGGTCCTCAGACTTATACAAGAATTGCATTTTAGTCCCTCAACTAAATTATTCGCTCAAATGGTCCATCAACTCTTTATTATTCGGTAAATTGGTCCCACTGTCTAATTTTTTGTTAGATTTAATCAAATTTTAGGGTAAATATGACTTTACATAATTTAAAACTAAAAATAGGGTTAAATTAATACAAAATTAGAAAATATCGAAGAAAAAAAGAAACAATCCTTAGACCCAAACCCAGCGCCCCCTCCTCCCGATTTCTTCTCCTCCATTCCCCTACAGACCTTTCCCTCCCTTCTGTTTTCCCCTCTCTCTTTTTCTCTCTCCCATTTGCCCCCTCCCAGTCTTAGCAACAAGCCCCTCCTCCTCCTCCCACCACTTATGGCTTAACCCAAACATCTAATTATTTTTGTATTTTTTTTTCCTTGTTTGTAAGCTACTCAAATACCCAAGCAATATCTCACCCCAACCTATGGCCCAAAGACCTTTGGCCCTCTCAACTTCTACAACTTATGTTTTTGGTGAAAGAAACATGACTAGGCCCAAATATTCACTTGAGAGAGAGAGTACGAAATGACCAATTTGCCCTCATATTTAATGACAATTTTGACAGAATGTAACGGTGGACCAATTTGCCGAATAATAGAAAGTTAATGGACCATTTGAGCGAATAATTTAGTTGAAGGACCAAAATGCAACTCGGTATAAGTTTGAGCACCATTTGAGTAAATAATCCTTATTTGTTTTT